TTTGATACTCAATTATCAGTGAGACAGATAAGCAAAGAAGGTGTTTTTTTTTTCTCAGTAAAGGCCACATGGAAACTTAGATAAGGAGCTGAAACATATGCAAGGTTACATATGTGATTGTGTTGGAGTGGAATCTCAAGGTCCTGTCTCTTAGGTTAGTGTCTTTTCTGTGTAGTAAAAATGGAAAGAAATTCAGCTTTTGCTATATCTAATGCAGCACTTCCTATCTTTAGAATCTTCCCTTAGAGTGAATGGCATATCTCTGACATACCTAACAAATATACAAAACTTAATGAATGTCCAGTTGAAATTGAAGCCAGTAAAGAAGTATTTTACTGAGCTGGGCACTGGTGGCTCATGGCTGTAGTCTTAGCTACTCAGGAGACTGAGATGTGAGGATTGTGGTTTGAAGCCAGCCAGGTAGAAAAATCTGTAAGAATCTAATTAACTACCAAAAAGTCAGAAGTGGGGCTATGATTCAAGTGGTAGAGTGCTAGCCTTGCACAAAAAGAGCTCAGGGACAGTGGTCAGGGCCAACACACACACACACACACACAAGTATTTTACTGAAGAGACGAAGGATGTTAACTGGGAGATAAGGGTCTTATAGTTGGAAATCTTTAGTTTTAGATTCTACTTTAAGTTTTCGAAAGCTTGGTGTTTCATTGTAGCCACTAAATCTCAATGAATTTTTCCACTTAAATGATAGTAAGAGCAAGATTAAAATCCATAAAACAACTCACATGAGATTGACTAAGGATTGCCATTTTTTAACAAGCACTTCAATGTAGCTCATTCTTTGTACTCCTACCTTTTTGAGTATTACCATTTCATCAGGTAGCACTACCATCCAACTAATTACTGTGACAAGTCACTCAGTAACTCACCCCCTGCAGATATTTCTCTGCCTCCCTCAGACTCCAGGTCCTGTTTAGGATTTACCTCTTCCTTGTTTGACAGAGCTCACCTACTTTATCCTCAATGCCACCAACCTTCATCTTGAAGACCACCACTTGCCATCTCCCCTTTGGCTGGTCTTAGATACTTTCCTTTCCAAATGTAAAACATTCATTTAAACAAATTCATGAACAAAATAAATTTGAGCAACTGAAAGAATCAGAGCAATGTCATCCCATAGCCAACTTTTCTTTACACCCAGAATGTAAACAAATTGATGCAGTAATTCCTACTTCTGTAGGTCCTTCATTGGCTACTTGTCTTGGAGTAATGTTGGAACTCTGTAGTATTCATACACATCGCCCCTTATTAGCTGGCTTTGACTCTGCCATATACTCCAGTCATTTTTCTCTTTTACTGTCTTACTACTATCAATGGCCTTCCATTACTTATTTCAGTGTACCACTCCTTCCCACTGAGGGCATCCATATGTACTATTTCCACCAACTAGAATGACAATCCCCAATCCACACATCCTCCATGTTTCAATGCAAATATGATGTACTCTAGAAAGCTTTCTTGATCTACTTCCTTGTCCACTAGTCCTATAGTAGGTTAAGTGCCCTGTACTTCTCCTTTATAATATTTATTATAACAATAATGAGTTAACTGGTGTAGCATTTCCTCCATGTACCCTCTGTCTAGTTTGCCAACTATTGGATCAAAAAAGATTAGCATCATATTTTACAAACTTTTAAAACTGGGATTAATGATTACAAATAAGTTTTGCATTGTTACCCGTACACACAGACATACATGTTCCTAAAAAGGGATCTCATGAGTAATGCTTTTCCTTGATCATTACAATTCACTTGGTATTCTGAGCAATATGTTCTATTGTTTTTAATAAGATGGATATAAACCACTTTATTCATTCTATAACCTCCTCCTACTCTCATTTAAAATAGTTATCTACCTAACAAAACTTTACACCTACATATTGTATTTAGATAACTAGTGGAAAAAAATTGTTTACTATACACCATGACTCTAATCAATCTCATTCTGATTGGTTTGGTTTCTCTTTCCCAGAGTTAGTCTTCCCTCCTAGACAGCCTTTGGGAAAAAAGAAGCTAAGCTTTTATAGTTTGCTTTATTTCTGATCAACTGTGACAAAATGATTTAGCAAATAAAAGCAATAATATAGTAATGCTACCAAATTATTTACTGCTATTGTCTCCCAATTCAGAAACATTGTAAAAGGTACTGAATGAGGTATGAGGGATTTTGCTAGCATCCTGGCTTCCCACTCAAAATCTTAAGAGCTTGGTAATTACAATGATAAGAAGTTCAAAGAGTCTCATACAAAGAAGATCTAATTGGTGGGGGGGAGGGGAGGCGGGCGGAGAGGCTATTATAACAGTATAAAGATGAGGGAACAGTGGGGGGAAGTTGAGTAGAGATAGGAAGTTGAGTAGAGTAGGGAGACTTTTTGTGAGTTTTATATTCTTTGAGCCGAGGAAATACATACACTTGGTCATGTAGTCCAACAATCACTAATCATTAGACACTTGGGTTTAGTCAGGTGGGTTTCCGCTAACCAAGATGAGTGCTGTGCATTATCCTAACATTTGGAAATGTGATGTAGGCCTACCAAAACATGGACAACAGTTAAGTTCCTCCTAGAACTTCCTTTTGCCCCATATGTCTTCCAATTTGCCATCTCTCCACTCTTTCAAAGAGATTGGCAGCATTTTAATGTCCCAAAGGAAGAGACCGATGCAGATAACTCTGTATGTCTCCTATTTTTAATGTCTACAAGGAGGCGATGAGAGAAGAGTTTGCTGTTCTGGTCTTTCAGCTTACTTTCTGGTTCTAATTTCTCAAAATGACTCAGCATTTGTTAGTTTTAGTTTTCCTGTGTCCTTATCTATCATATTTCTGTCCCATTATGCAATTGGGAGAAGTGTACTAAAACTTTGAATTTTGATCCTTTTTAGTGATATGTCATATGACACATTCTGTCCCACAGAGCTAAGCAGTGGCAATGGCCCACAGCTCCCAGCCGGCCCTGCAATCAGGATGGGAAACAATCTGTAGTCTACTGTATACCATGTTACTCACCTATAGCGTTACATAGTGTAGGTGTAGTAAACGCACTGAGAAGTGATCTCATTGTTAGTCAAGGAGCATCTGTATGATTCATTTTTTTAGTATTTTTTAAATATTTTTATTGTTTTTAATAAAAAACAATTACATGAGCAAGATAATGAGTACATTTCTTATCAAGCATGGTAGCTTCCTCCTTTGTTTCCCCTTCCCATCCCTTCCCATCCTCCCCGCCCTCCCCCCCTTCCCCCCAACCCTCCCCCTCCCACCAAAGTTGTAAAGTTCGTTTTCGACATAATGACTTGTACTTATACTTGTCATGTTTTGCTGTTTCCACCAGGTACCTGTAATTCTTTTCTTCCCTTTTTTCATCTCTACTTGTAAACATTCTAGGCACCCACCATATAAAATATTAAGGAAACCTTCTCAGCATTATCAACCTCATAATACTAGCAAGTCTTTGTTGGATTAGGCTAACTCAAAGTGAGAATTCCCCACTCATTGGGAATCAAACAAGCCTAGGAGAACTAACCAGGGATTTCACTCTTGAGGAGAAAGTGTCTCTCACACAGGTATAAGCAGGGTAGAGCATGGAAACTTCCTCTAGTTCTCTCCCCAAGGAACACAATTCCAGAGCAAAAACACTTTAGTATGCATTTGATTTTTGCATGGGATACAACTTTGGCGGGGGAGGGGGAGTGGGAGATGGGAAGGGATGGGAAGAGGAAACAAAGGAGGAGGCAACAATGCTTGATAAGAAATGTACTCATTACCTTGCTCATGTAATTGTAATCCTTCTGTATGGTATTTTCAGAATAAAAATATGGACAAAAAATCACGATGCATCTGAAAAAATAAAACAAAAAAATGTCTAAATAAATCAAGCCTTTTTCATGTTTGAGAACTAAAAAACCAGGCAGAAGTTGAATGCCAACATATCTCTTTTCTCTTGTGTAATCATAGATGAGCTTAACTGGTAGATTTTCTTCTGTGTCTATATAACAGAAGAATGGCTTGTCCTATGTTTTTTCATGAACAAAAGTGTTCTCTAAATAGTTGGTTCCTAATATATCAGATTCCTCTCACTAGAACTGAGGCCAAGGAGACTATTTTTAACTTGAATTTGAGAACTTGTGGTCTATAATTCTTAAATCAAAATTTATTAAAAATTAAGAGGATTTGGGTTCTTCTTTATGTAAATTGACTTGTTTTACCCTTCAGATACAGACTGAAACTCTTAATGGGGAATTTATAGTGTAGACTTTACCTTGTTGAAAATACTGTTTCTCTGTCTGTAAGAAACATAGCTAACCAATGAGATTTCAGGTAATGAACAATAGCATTAGCTCTCATATGAGAGATGGCTCCTTCTTTTGTGTCAATAAGAAGCTTATATAAAAGAAGTCTATTTTCCCTAACCTGAGCTTTCCACTTGATTATGTATCTGTTTTGTGTACTTTATGTTCGCAAGCCATTTATCTAGATACTTGATCTAAAATTCAACACGTTACTCCATGTAATACAGTGATAGAAAAATTATAAAATAAAGAAATATTCTCCTAAACTACCTTAACCTTAAAATCATGTTGGTATAGGAAGAAAAAAAAAAGGAAAGGAAGGAAGGAAAGAAGGAAGAAAGAAAGAAAGAGAGAGAGAAAGAGAGAAAGAAAGAAAGAGAAAGAGAGGAAGGAAGGAAGGAAGGAAGGAAGGAAGGAAGGAGAGAGCAAGCTTAATTACTCAAATAGTAGCAAATGTTATTTTTTTAGATATATCTCAGTAAAATAAATTCAAAATAGTTTTCCCTCCTATTGTTTTCAATACAGGAGACATTTAATTATGTAAACAAAAACAAGGAGAGCAGTTTCATAGATTCTGTTTAGGCTGTAGTGATCCAATTATCTGGTCAAAGGGCTGCCTGGATGCAAGAGACAGGGTGAGTTAAAGTTTAACTCCTAGGAATTGTAAACCAAACCTAAAGCCACTGAACCTTTGGAGTTTGATATGATGATTAGAACATAACCAGAGTGACACGTTGAATTCGCCATAATCAAGGAACCTTTTTCCGGGTGGGGATCTCTGAAATTACTCAGGTATGGTCCATGCAATTTCATGTTTTCTTTTCAACTCCATAGGACTGTGGTTTCTGAGACAAATTAGAGCTTGAACTCTCTTCTATTGCTGAGACTAACCCAGGGAATTGTCTGGTTTGATTCTATACTAATGAGACAAATAGAAACAAAAAAAATGTATCGGAATAATCAAGTCATCTCAAAATGAGAAGGCTGCCATGCTTTGCTTCTGGGTTTCATATATCTAGAGTTTAAAAATATACAGATTCATTTTTGTAGGTTCAAAAGTGGGATGATTGTGTTTAAAAGTTTATTTAGCCCTGGTGAGAGAGTTGTATTTGACTGCCTGTTCTCATCCTAAAGCCCAGGAAACAGAAATGTAAATAGCAAGAGTACTAGGATTAACATTCTGGCAGATTTTGAGTTCCCGGTATGGTCATAATTACTATCATACATTAGACTTCTTATATTCAATTATCTCCACACTACCACCATCAGAAAAATAATTTATACTATATCCTTGATATTTCCTCTGCTATTAGTCTTTTAATCAAAAAAGAATTCTTATGCTATTTGCTATTCATTCTAGGAAGAGAAATAGTTATGCAAAAGTGACTTGCTTTAAATGTGTTAAATTTGAACCTTGGCATGGCTAATTATTAGATGAGTTCTACTGTTTGAGAAACTATAATGCAGATGTGTTTCACATTTTCAATTTGTTCACCCCCACAAAAAAAATTCATGTCAGGATATGATGGTTCTATCTAAGGAAATAAATCAATTCTTAATAAAAATATCCTATTCCTACCAGAACTGTCAAACTCCCCAATTGAAACTTTTTGGTTTTGTGATTAGTAAGTTTCAAAGAACAGGCTACAAGTTACACATGTTTCTTTACAATAGCACTTCTCAGATTGTATTGTATATCTCTAAGAAGATGAAGAACACAATATTGTCAGTGGTAAACTCCTCTCTTGTTATCAATTAAGAACATTGTAAAAAATATTGTTCTAGTCCAAAGCATGCTTTCTAGGGAACATGTACTGAGAGAATAAATCTGTAAATAAAATTTAAACCACTTGTTAAAGCAGTGATACTATCCCCAGCTAAAGACAGAGCAGTAGACCAATGACATACAGGGTCTGGGAACTGCACTAGAACACCATTAACAATAGCAGTTTTAGAAGAGGTGTGCATTTTGTTGTTCCAGTTTTTATCATGTATAAAAGAAGAGAGAAAATAGTTCAAAGAAAAATAAGTTGCTCTCAGCAAACCTAATAACATGACATAATCTCTAAATATACTGAATACTAGGTTATTTCCAACTGAGCTAGTACTAAGTTCATCTTGTGATATTTCAAATATCAACATTTCCTGCACTATGTAACAAATGTGCCACAACAACAACAACAACAAAATTGTCTACTACCTGGACATGTAGGCAGAGAAAGAGGGATGAGATCATTTAAAGAAGGTCATCTTACTATACATCTATTTTGCATAATAAAATTAATACATATTATGGCACTATGCTATCAAGTGCATTTCTAAGTAGCCTCCAAATGTTTATCTCCTGTTGTTGTTAAGAGTAACAATATAATTTGAAGATATTCTTAGGACAAAATTTAGGTATCAGCAAGTTAACTAACAGACTCAGCAAAACCCAATGAGCAAGAAGAGAGCCAGGTTCATAAACCAGGTGGTCTGACTACAGCTAACAAGTACAATTTACAATGTACGTAAATATGTTCATTCATGCAAGAGAGTACACTGCCTTTCTTAAGCTTAACTTTACAACAGAATATTTTCCAGGAAAAAAATCCATCAGTAGCTCTCAAACTTGATGTTCCTTAAAATACAGATTAAGAAAGAATAAATCACTTTTATAGCCCATGTCCAATACTCATAAGCAGGATCAACTGAATTCATTGCTTTTGAAATCATTACAGTCAAACACACCAAGGAATCATATGCTCTCATTATCTTTCAGCAAATAAGACTGTACGAGGTTTAGAGGCTTTTAAAATTAATTAGAAAAAGAACAGTGGACTTGTCTCCAGACAGAGCTAGATTGCAATTCTTTTTCCTTCCTCTTCCCCTATTTGTCACAGCCTCCAAGAACCTCTAAAACTGTCCATACTTACTCATTAACATCTCTTTGTCAAAACAAGTCATTAAAATAAGAAACTACATAAACAAAGAAGTTTTTATTAATCACAGATTCACTTCCATTTATTGAGAGACAAGCTATAATTCTTTTTTTAAACATTAAAATACAAGGCAGAATGAGAGGGAAAGAGGGAACCGCTTACACTAAGCAAAATGAAAGAAATGTAAAATATCAACTGATGTGGAAGAAATAGTTGTACTGTAAAAGCTCATAGAATTCACAAACTTTATAGACCATGATAATAACAATTTGCCTTGTGAAGGATAAAATGTGTTTGTGACTTACTAAGTATCACTATTCCACAATACTGTGAGATATGTGAGATCTATATAATCACCTAATCTCAATAAAATTTATTTTAAAAAACACAAGATATACTTGTGAGAATACGTCTCAAAACTCTTAGTGAAATGCCCAATGCCCCTTTTATTTAAACCCACAGGTCACTCGTGTTCAGTGTATACTCATTTTATCAAACATCCAGTTGATATTTGGAGAAAAAAAAACAACTGTTTTAGTAACTGTCTTTTAAAATACTGTCATCACCTAGAAAGCAAGGTAGTACTTTGGGCACTATTGCACAAGGGTGTTCATTGCCACATGTGTCTCTAAATGACTCAATAAGTTCAAACAAGACAGCATTGATCTACAGAGGATAAACACCATTTTATCTTATTCATGGAAACAGTAACCAGGCTCCTCTAAAGTGCACTTCTAACAGTCCAAATTCTCCTAGGAAAAGGGCTGGAAAAGGATCCTCAGTCAGTGCAGCATTGACAGCTTCTATTAGACATTCAAATCCCATCTGCTCCTTGACCTGACACAGCAATTTCAGGCAGTTATTATTAATAAATATTTATTGCCAATTGGATGAGGAAAGGTAGTTTGTAGTGACAAAGTCCTATCAAAACTACTCCAATTAGGTTACTGGCCTTAAACACTACAAATTTTCATTTCACAAGTACAGTTTTATGTAGAATATTTTTAATATATTTTTTGGGGGGGATCTGGTCATGGGGCCTGAACTCGGCCTGGGCGCTGTCCCTCAGCTCTTCAGCTCAGGGCTAACGCTCTACCACTTGAGCCACAGCGCCACTTCCGTCTTTTTTTTATTTTTCTTATGTGGTGCTGAGGAATAGAACCCAGGGCCTCAGGCATGCAAGGCAAGCACTCTACCACTGAGCCACCTTCCCAGCTATGTAAAATATTTTTGTGTGATGCAAATCAAACTTTAAAATACAGCCATCCCTTGGTAACTGCTGGGGATTAATTCCAGAGCCCCATGTGGGTACCAAAACCTTCAGACGCTCAAGACCCTAATAAAAATGATATAATGGATGCATATACTCCTCTATGGTTAAGTGCTCTTCAGACTCTTTTTATAATATCTAATACAATGTAAAGACTAAATAGTTGTTATACTGCACCATTTAGAAATCATCCTTTATGTGTTTTGTTCAAACACAATATTTTTCAGATATTTTCAGTCTGTGAATGGGGAATCCACAGATTCAGAGGGTTAAATGTATTTCCATTGGTAGAAATAATCATCTTTACTAAACTATTCTGATGTCTTGATCACTCTCTAATTTTATTATATTAAAATATGCCAGCTATTAGCATACAGACTTCTAGATGGAGTGTTACATGTATTAATATTCCCATGGAATATATTTTCCAACAAGACTTTTCAACTGATAATATCAAGAGAGGAGGATTAACAGGTACATAACTTCCTCTGTGTGCCATATTCTGTGCCAGTAAATAATATGTCTAAAGAGAATTTGTACATAACAATTCAGCCAGACAGAATGTCTAAGGAAGCAAATTGAATTTGTAATTCTGTAAAAATCCCACTTCCAGTTAGGCAGTAATGTCTTCCCTTCCTCCAGCAGTTAGAAAATTATCATTGCTTTGGGACGCCCAATTGATTTAAAAAGCACTAGATTTAAATAAGTACTGTAGCACTTATTGCTAGAGATATTCTAGTTTACAAACATTGCATACAGAAGAGTTTTGCATGGGTTGATGTCAACTTTCTTCATGTTTACTGTCATACAAGTCGTTTCTTCACAATTATTGAATCATGATTTGTCATTCCAGTGGTACAAAGTTGGTTAACCAAAAATTACTCTTGCCTATTCTGTTTATACTTTAATTACTGATAAGGTAGTGGCCCTTCACTCTATTTCATATTATTTCATTTATTAATCCATTAAGATGGTAGATGAAATGATGAATATTATGGTACACATGGAGAAAGAGACAAACCAGTCTGGGACATGCAAGTCCTGGTTAAAAAAAAAAACTTCAAGAAGAAGTTGAACCAGTCAAGATACCAATACAACACAGTGAAAGAAAAAGGAAAAGAGGATAATAAAATTGCTAGCAGACTGGCAGGGGACTGGAAAAACATGTACAAATGCAGTGGGCTTTCATTTCTAGTACCTTTCATATTCTTCTATTTATCTATTTCATTGGGTTTCTGTAAAGTGCTTATTTAGTCATTAGGATCTTCAGAATGAAGTATATAGGCTTACTAGATTTACTTTTTTTTTGTAACTTTTTTTTTGGGGGGGTCCGGTCGTGGGGCCTGAACTCTGGGCCTGGGCACTGTCCCTCAGCTCTTCAGCTCAAGGCTAGCGCTCTACCACTTGAGCCACAGCGCCACTTCTGGCTTTTTTCTTTTTGCTTATGTGGTGCTGAGGAATCGAACCCAGGGCTGCTGGCATGCAAGGCAAGCGCTCTACCACTGAGCCACCTTCCCAGCCTGCCTTACTAGATTTACTTAAGCAGCAGTCCTCTGATTGTCTGCACTAGAAGTCTGAAATAAAAAATCTGCTACCAAGGA